AGTTCCTGAGAAAACTACCTTTTTAATTCTGTGAAATGATGTCCCTAGTTTCTGCACCTTTATTCATTTTTGACAGCTAATTTCTGCACATTTTAATTGATATATCTTCATTAAAATTCTAACTCAATTCAGTTGAAAATCCAGTTGCTGACTTTCACAGTTTCTTGCTGTTGTTTTGCGTGTGTGGGTGTGTGTGTGTGCGCGCGCACAAGGTTGTTCAGCTAAAGAATAACATTTGTAGAGGAACAAGCGCAGATCGATTTTCCTTAGCTTTTTTCTGAACCTGAAGTGCTGAGACAAGCAAAACATGTTCCCATTACTTAACTAAGCAAACAATGGCATATAAATCATAGAGGCAGCTGGACCAAGGTGTCGTTTCCATAAAGAGGCAGATTTCTCACGAAGGACATTTTAATGGGCTGCTGCCAGTGAGACTTCTGCAGTGCTGGCGCTTGCAGAAGGGCATGCAGAAAGTGACGCTGGAAAGGTGTTGTGTGGGAGCTAAGAAATAGCTCCATAGTGAAGGGAATTGGAAAAGGAGACTGAAAAAAAGGTGTGTTCTCTAATAATTTGTTTCTTGAGGTTTATTGTTTTACATCAAAATCTTTTATTTTTAGCCTGCTCACATTGGCTGCAAGATCAGAGAAGTGGTTTTAGATGTAATTTTATTTTGATCATGTTTATACTGTGGCTTTGTTTGCCTTTGATCATGCTTAAACACGTTTCAGACATGCTTGTTTGAAGTATGCTATTTTTGAAAACACTCTTCCACTTTGTCTGCTGGTGCATGTGTTGTTTTTCTTATTTTTTTTTTTGCCTTTAACAGTGAGTCACTGTAAAGTATTTGACGTCAAATAACTTCTTAAACTCATTTTCACTAAACGTGCTTCCCAGACCTTTGAGTGAACAAGAGACTGCTTTTAGACAAGAACATCACCATAAGAATATTTGAGTTTTTCTCTAATTGGAGGCACTTTTAGGGACTCCAAATACCCTGTAATTCATACCCAGAAATTTGAAGTCATCCCATCTATCCTCAATGGCTGCAGTACACCAGTGTTTTGCCATTGCTGCCAGTGGTTTCAGATCAAAGTTCCACTTCCCATTCAGTAAAAGGGCTTGAAGTTGCTTCCAACACGTCTTATGTGGCTGTGCTGAGTGGATGAAGTGGGTCAGGCCTGGCTGAGTTATTTTAAACTTTCTGCCCTTGATATGGAACTTTTATATTTTTGCAGGCAAGTCTCGATAGCCAAGCACGTGTGTCCGTGCGTAAGTCTCTCCTATTACATGGCTGAGCAATTAGGAGAGCCAAGAGCAAGCCCTCCATCTGGGGACAGCATCCCCATCGCACCCGCAGAGCGCGGTACAGGGTGTTGCCTGACTACCGTCCCCCCAGCCGATGGATCCATCCTGAGCATGGGCCAAAGCCCCAGAGTTAAATGCATCAAGTCTTGGGGAGGACAAAGCTCCTTCATTAATGGAGCTATAAAGATCACGCTGTCCGTCACTATCACGCACTGCCATCCTCGTGGCTTTATAGCCGACTGAGTTATCAGCAAAATTTCCTTCCCTCAATACACACACGCTCACCCATGCTCACAGCATTGGTTATGTAATCAATATAGTCATTCTGTTCAAAAAGCAGTAAGGAATATCTATTTCTGTATGCTACAGGACACATATAACCTGTTCTTTCCTTTGCTTTGTTACGTAGACAGAGGTATGAAATACAGAAGAGGAAAAAAACAACCAACCAAACAAAAGCAATTAACAAGAGCAATGGCCCTATAACATGAAGGACCACTCTCGTATTGAATTAAATCTATTGATCTAACCAGTTGGCCAAAGAGCCTGAGGTTTGCTCAGTAAAATAACGCCACTGTAATTCCACAAAAACGAGTCCATGATATACAGAAGAGATGCTCTAATAGGAGGCTGTGTGGAGTTTTATTGCGCTGAATATAGTTAGGATTAGCAAGTGCTAATTGAAAATCTGACTTCTTGCAGATGAGCACTGTTTGGTTTAAAAAAAAATGCAAAAGCATGTACACCTGTGATCTCTGTAAGGCCCAAATTATCAGCCTTCCACCCTTCTTCTGTGCCACCACTCCACTAGAATAATTTGTAATATATATATATCATATTCAATATTTTTGTTATGTTTCTGTTGTTCTTGTATCAATCCATTCCTATTCGCTAGGCTGCCTTAGTGTTCCAGGTTCACTTGCAAAAGTATGAGTGGGAAAGAAAAGAATAATAATATGCTAACTGAGGGCAAGTTTATATAACCTTACTCTATCAGCAGTATTGCTGACTTGAAGAGGACTCCCTGTGGGATCTTCAGAGGGCAGTGTAAAGTTAGATTTTTGATGCCTGATTTATTTTAGAATTTGATATCTTGTGATTTACAAAATCCATTGTGCTAGAGACAAATCATTTGACTGTTTAGGAATGTGTTTAAGTTTTGGATGAATGTTTTTTTGCCCCTTTCCTCAAGGCCTTTTGATTGTAGAAAACAGCTTTGTGTGTTCAGGGCAAAAGTGCTCCAGATCCAGTAGCCTGGGCCAGTGTCTTCTAATGGCTGTCCTCTTCTTCTGATGTAATTTTTTTATGAAATATGAAGATTTTAAGCTGTGGCCTATGTTTCCTGTGAAACAAGTTCCATTCAAAGCATTGGTAGTTTATACAAAGAATAACAGATATTACTCCTGTTAGGATATGGTGTAAGTATTATTTATCCTGGGCCTCACATCAGTGCAGTATGAAGGCTGTTAGATGCATGCTGGAAAGAAAGGAAGGGAGTGTAATAGGTTAAGCTGCTGATCCTGTGGGTTGGAGAGCTTCAGCTTCTTACTGATGTTTAATGATTTCAAATGTCCAAAAGGGTATATCTTAGAACAGGTAATAGAGAGTTCCATGTGTCTATATTCTGAGTCTGCATTCAGCACAGGACCTGGGAAAAGGTTGAGCAGCAAGATAACCAAGTTTTCTGATGAAAATTTCTTTATTCAGCATAGCAAGACAAAGGAAGACTGTGAAGAATTACAAAAAGATCTTATGCAACTGAGTAGTTAAGCAATCAAATGACAAATTAAATTAATCTTGTTGAATGATGTAGTGGTAAACCATGGGGAAAGTCATGAGGAAGAATATGCCCATCTTCACATGCGAAATGACGGACTGTGGACTGAGCCTTACCAAAAAAGAGTGAATTTCTGAGTTAATGGCACATAAAGTTCCTTGAAAATGTCAGCTTATTGCTCAGGAAGTTATTACTGGAACACATGAAATGTTAGGCATTAACAGAGAAAGAACAGAGAATTCAACAAAGAACATTATTATAGCCCTGTGTAATCGCTTGAATGCTGTGGATATTTCCAGTAAAGGAACTAAGAGGCATCAGATGAAGCTATCAGGATCCATGTACAAAACTAGAGATCAAAAGCAGGTTATACTTCTTTCACTTATATACCTGAGGAATAAACTGCAAAAGTATACCGTGAATCCTGGAAGTTTACATGGACTCGGGAAGAGGCTCTACAGATACATGATGAAAAATCTATTGAGAGTTGCTCTGTACAGAAAAAACAGCCAAGTCAGGGGATTGGGTGCATGGAAAATAGTTGGAGGCTGGGAGATTATCCCAGGAAATTAGCATTTGAATTTACCATGTTCTTTCTTTTTCCTAGGTAGTTGCTTTTGACCAATGTTGGAGTCTGTGTACAGATCTGAGTACTCATTGGTCTGCGCCCACATGATCATTCTTGTGCCATGTAATGTGAAATGTGCAAAGTCCCATTTATTATTTAGCTCTTGTGGCTTCATGTGAAAGTTGTTATAACCAGTATATGCATAAAATGATGCCATATGTGCCTATATAATAGGCACATCTAAACATGTACATGCGTATACATTAATATACCAAAATAGGCTGGTTGCAAGCACAATCATCTTAATAAGGCAATGAATTTAATGGGACAACTAGTGTAAACTGGCAAAAGAAAATGCAGTTCACTATTTCCGTGACTATGTGGCATAAACTTACACTGGAAAGAAACTAGTACAAGACACTAAAACTGCTTATAATTTTATATAGGAACAGGACTATGAGTAGTTAAATATAACTCACAGTTAATTATCCCAGCAGGATATAAACTGGTTGTAAAACAGATTGGTAAATCTATTGGATATGCCTTCTTTTTCCAAATATAGTGAGAGATAGCAGCTGAAGTATCTCAGTAAAATAAAGTGGTGAGCCAAATTCACCACTGGTATGGATTTATGATTTATGCAGATTTCTCTCCTAAAATTTCTTACCACCATTTCTGCATAACCAATCAATTTGTCTTAACATTATGTATTTTTATGTGCTGATATCTCTTCTTCATCATCCAAAAATGGCATCACCATAATTAGCAGGAAACAAACATTTTCTGTGACAAAAAACTAGAAACAGATAAGATAAAACAGGTTTTCAACAATCTTGAATAGATTTTTTCCCCCTATAGAAATTCATGGCTATACTTCTATTCTGGAAACAAATCAAAAAAATGTTGGGTTTTCCCAGGGAGATGATAGTTTGGAAGTAGACAGTATCAAGGAAACATGTACTGGCTAGGTACGGTACCAGGTGAATGCTGGTGTGTGTTGACGTGGCTTGCCTGTAAGCTAATGTAGAGCAAAAACATGCAAGATGGTTATTTGTGTTACACAGGAACATGAGGAACTGAAGATTCGGATTTGAGAAGGTACTTCTTAGTTCCTTTGGCTTCATCATACATTTTGAGCCTTTGGATCTTTTTTCTAAAAGCAGAGTTAATTACCGCAAAGAGATAAGAGGAATGTAAATACCCCTTATGCGTAACTGTGCAAGAAAGTACCTAACATGGGCATATTTGCCACATAATACAGTGGTTGATGTGCAAAGTCACAAGCAGTCAATCAAGATAAGTGATTTAATTCATGGATCAGTAACACATGCTATGACATTGTTTTCTCAGATCCTAGATTCATTAGTGTTCACCTGATACCAGAGAGTGACAATCCAGAAGATGACAAAATCTACTTCTTCTTCCGTGAAAATGCAATTGATGGAGAACACACCGGGAAAGCCACTCATGCCAGAATAGGGCAGATCTGTAAGGTAAAGCGATCACTTACTTATTACTCAGAGTAAAAAGTAGTTATGGGATAATACATAGAAAGGTGTACTATTCATTTCTCTTCTGGTTGGGAAACTTCACAAACTGTGATGTTCTGTTTAAAAAATCATAGTCATTTTTAAAGGCTCAGAACATGTCTGCAAAAGACACAGTCTTTTACAGGAAATGTGATACTTCCAGGTAGGCCAAAAACATTTGAAGAATTTACTTTTTAGAGGAATGTTAACACCTTTGCATTCCCACATTAGTGATTTTTTTTTTTAACAGAGGCAAAGGAAGATTTTAAAAAATAGTTGTTTAAGCTAAGATCTATAAATGGGCAACAGTTCAGAACAGTTCACTTAATGATTCCAGACTGATTCATCCATCCACCCTGATAAACATCCAAATATTTTTCTGACAGACTTTAAAGAAGATTTCTACAAATTGTGACATTCATAAATGTTACATAGCTTTGGCAACTGTGGTATTTACTGTAAAATTTCATGTTAATCCATAGGCACAATTTCAATTTATTTCCTCAAGTCCAGACATAGCTGCTTGACAACCAGTTATCCCATATGTATGAGTCTTTGGTATACTTTTGCTCCAAGTTTTGCTGCTATGCATCTGATCCCATCATTCTGGCGTTTTTATATACCTTCTTCATTCACAACTTGTATTTCTCCTTTGTTGCTACCCAGTTAAGGATTATAAGCCTCTTAAACCTTACCAGGATGTGGGTTGTTGGGAAACCTGGACAGTCTGTTTGTCTGCCTCCAGTGTTGTATATTTTAGAATGTATAAGGAGTTTTTTGAAATGATGTCAGCTGTACAGTGACATAGTGATACTATGAACTGTATACTGATACCATGTAAAAGAAAAGTAATTTAAAATTACGTCTTTGAAAACATAATGCTTTTCTTATGTAAAATTTCTGTTTTCTAAAACCAGCATCTTGGGATTATTCAATGCTCTTTGTCTAAGATTTCAAGGAAAGACTGTTATTACAAGATGTTAATGTGGGATACTTTTATTGTATAGAATGACTTTGGTGGGCACAGGAGCCTTGTTAACAAATGGACAACTTTCCTGAAAGCCCGGCTGATCTGTTCTGTGCCAGGACCCAATGGCATCGACACGCACTTTGATGAACTGCGTAAGTGGCAGCTTTCAATACAGAAACATTTCCCACTACTGCCAACACACAAAATAACTTTTTTTTTTTTTCGTCTCTTGTTATTGTTACAGAGGATGTGTTTCTAATGAACTCAAAAGACCCTAAAAATCCAATAGTCTATGGAGTGTTTACAACTTCCAGGTACAGAAAGTATCATTTTACTTGCAGGGAAACGTGGGTGGCTGCTTGTTTTAAAGAGGTCTCTTTGTTAAAAATGTTTTTAAGAAACAAAATTTTCTTAACCTTTGAACTGCGAAGTCGGTGGCAGTAAGCAGTAATGAATTAGGTTTCTTTCTCGGGAGTGATGTACATCATCACCCCGAGCCAAGAGATGACACAGGCAATCAGTTCCTCTGGCTGCTCCGGTCTTTGAATTGGCTTGTCCGAAGTTGCAGCCGTCCCACATAGCGCTGGGAAAATAACACCAGGCTTCAGTATTTCTTAACTTAGAAAGCATAAAAGTGGAGAACTCTCATGCGGGAAATTGGCTACTCGTCAAGGTATTAGGAGAAATATTGTTGAAATCTGGAAAATCTAAAAAGCTTTCGAAGTTGTATTATTTTACTGTGTCTAACTGTGACTCGAATATTTTGTTTGCACTTTCTACTAAGAACAAAATTATGCTTGGCCCGAGGAAGGTCTATACCACTGGTGGCAGAGCATATTGCTGCATTTATCTCTGAATTTTAGTTTTTAAATAGAAAGAATGTTTCTAAAGATAACAGTGCATAGGAGAGAGATTTGCAAGCACTAAGTGTACTCAGTAAGAAATCTCAAGGTAGGGAACAGCACTGGAGTTGGTGTGTGTGCTGCCCAAATGACGAAAGACAATATGAAAAAAAAGAAAAAGAAAAAATGTGAAGTGAAGCAAAGAACTGAATAGTCCCCCAGAGACGGGACTGCTGACATTTCCTCAAGTTGGGCCTTCTGGGGACAATATGCTTTAAATAGTGAAATAGCAGCTGTATGCTTAGCAAAATAGCTGGGAGATGGTATCAGTCCTGCTGCACTTTGGCAGGAGGTGAGCGGGGATTGCTCTGAGAGCATGTCAAAGTTTGGATAATCAGCACATGTAATAAATTAGAGAGCAACAAGCTGCTATTCCCCCAGCTCTCCCACTTGATTAAACAGACAGATAATTTAAAGAGCTTGTTGTGATTTCTTCTGCCCTGGTCTCTAGTAACATCTTCAAGGGCTCGGCAGTGTGCATGTACAGCATGACGGACGTCAGGAGGGTCTTCCTGGGGCCCTACGCTCACAGGGACGGCCCCAACTACCAGTGGGTCCCATACCAGGGACGAGTGCCATATCCACGGCCGGGAACGGTGAGTACCCCAGGAAACCTGGGTATCTAAAAAGAGAAATCCGTGGAAAATATTCTCACACATTTCATGGTCCTGGATCTCAATCCAGGAAAGAAAAAGAGATATTGGTGCAAACAGAGGGAAAATCAACAGTTTCCTTGGGTCCAGAATTTACAGAGCACTTCTAAAGCATGAAATGGTGGGGTAGCTTAATTTGGACTTTTCTTTGTATGTTCGTATTAAATATAGGAGAAGTTTGAGCAGTGGCTGAAGAGCTTTGCTGAAGGTCAAATGTTTAATAAATCATTCTGCATTATTTTGTCTTTGGAATTTGTGTTTGTTCCAGTTATTGACTGAACCATTCTTGCTGAGAATACAAAACAGAGCATCTGCCTAGTTGTTAATAAGTATGCAATTTTTTCCCACCATTGAATTCAGTACAAAAGATAGATATTTCTGCCAGGGATGATGGAATAACTGTAATTGCTTCCACTAGCATTTTCTTATTATTATTATTAAGCTGTGTTTTGACTTCTGTCTTTGTTTCTCATTTATGAATGACTAAAACATCAGTGCTGCAAGATACCCATATCTGCAATTCCCTAACTACTGATGTCTGAGGTCCTAGAAGTATTTCACTGTCTCTAACATTGCCACTAGTCTAAAGAAAGGGCATTTATGAATATACATATGTATTAATTATAAATGTTGAGTTAGCTCTGCAACGTGTATAAATAGACTTTGCCCATTTAAAACTTGGTATATCTTTGCTGAGGATTTTACCCATATGTATGTATATCTGTGTGTGCATATATATATATTTATATATTTAGACATAGATATGGATATGGACTATATATATATATGTATGTATGTATTTATGTGCACATACATACATATTTGTATATATATATTTGCTCAAAACATTCTTTTAAATGTATCCTTAAATGTAAATCTGATAGCAAACCAGGAATATCTTAGATGCTTTTTCAATTACCGAATTTTTATTTTTGTTTGGTATTTTTAAAATTGTTCTTTCAAACTAGTTCTTTCAACTTTCTTTCAACTGTTCTTTCAACTAATTTCCAGCAGTTAGTCAATGTGTATGTTCAGCCTAATGAAAATTACTTCCTACGTAAAAGAAAACAGTGATTGTCCCACAGCTGGATTACACAGCACTCCTCTATCCCTGTGTGTGGCTGCAAAAGGGTTTCTTAATCTTTTCAGAGTTAAAACACAAGTTCTGCAGCTTAGAGAGAGATTACTTTCCTCATGTGATACTGATTTTTACCTAGTCACTGAAATGTCAGATAACTATATATAGTATATATGTATTATATAGTTTATATACATATATAAACATATTATAGTTATATATATTGTAAAGTTATGTATACTACATAATTATATAGAGAGTTGATGTCCCTTTGGAAAATGTGAATGAGTAGATTTCTTCTATTCCTTGTATAAAAAGCTGGAAATCAGGGTCCAAAATTCTGCTTCTAGGCTAATGGCCTTGTGCCAAAATAGTGAAACATAGTTTAGTGATACATATACTTTTTCTGACTATTTTCTCAGGATGCATTTTACACTTAGAATTTCATTTAAAAATACCTATACTAAAACTCTGAAGGAGAGTGATAAATGATTAGTTGAGGCCAGCAATTTCTCCCAGCTCACTGCCAGTGACTATAATCCTAATGTCTACCACACAGAAAGTGTGTTTTTGTTCCTGATAAAACTGAGCTTTAAAATGAGAGAAGTTTCTGTCTCAAGCTGAGTGTTTTGTTTCTAAAGTGATAAAATCTGATTTGTTTTTGATGTCTTTGAAGATCTGTTGAGAATACAGGAGAAAGATTTTTGAAGTTCCTTTTGAAGCTCCTGTCAGTCTTGCAGCTTCCTTTTCCAAAAACAGGGAAAGGAAAGGAAGAAATAAAACCTGAGCTTCTTACAGTGATTCCAGACTGTACTTTTACAGTGCTGAATTATCTGAGGAATTTCATAGGTGAGATGCCAATAAACTTCTTGAGCATCTGGTGACTTGCCCAGTTTGAGTAATGAAAAGGAAAATTAATGGTTCTTTTGAAAAGTCAGATATCTTTGTAAACAATCCTACATCGGCTTCACTTTTCTGTCTTTACATTTTGAAAAGAAGTTACCAAGAGTTTTCCATTTTTATTTATTTATTTTTAACCTTAAAAGTTATTTTGGGAGAGGATGGAAGATTTCTTATATATATATTATAAATTCTAACCAGACATTCTATGAATTCAGAATCTGATTTTTCTCTAGTGTACGGTACCGAGTCTGTCTTTAGCAATGAGCAAAAAATATTTTATTCCTATTGATATCAGAGTAGGTGGCTGCAGCTTCATATTTGTTATCTTAAATTCCTTAATAAGCGGGTTAGGGTAGATCCTAGCAAATTTTTCTTGGCTAATCTCTACTCAGCACGCTGCATGCCAATGGATGTTAAATGTGAGAGTTCTTCTGATTCCACTTGAATCCAAGATAGGGCTCCAAACTTTATCAGATTATTCATACTCATGCTTAACTTAAGGCACCAAAGTAGTTTGTTTTCTTGGTATTAGTGAGATCACTCAGCTTTATAAACCAGAATTCTGATGCTAGGCCCATTAGCTTGAGCTTCACCATCTCGTATCAACTGCAGTCTTGCCATTAGTAACCAGGATAACATCTTCATTTTTGTTCCTTGGTGGGGCATTACTTATCACGACTGCTTAGGTTTTATGTGGGCTAAAATTCATCTGTAATCAGTTTATTAGTTTATTAAATCACCTATTGATGGTCTCCATTTCACTCTAGTGACAAGAGTGGGAGTTATGGCAAAGAGATTTTTTGATTTTGAGATCTCAGCCAGATTCCTAAAGAGGGGTGGGATGAATATGAGCTATAATCTAGTCCAGGTAATGAGCTTTAGATTTAAAGACACAAAATTGCTGTCATTGTTTATTCTCATAAAAATAAGGCTTTCAAACAGTACTCTGGTCTTTAGCGAGTTTCTCATTTAAATAGAGAGAAACTAATGATAGTTTTATGTGATATTCTTTCCTGCATAGAATACATCTTGGTCAAGATTGCTGCCAGTAAAATCTTTTGTTAGAAAATGAGCCAGAAAATAAATATCCAAGCAATTGAAACGCAGCTGAAATACATTTACTTTGAAATGAATATTCATTTACTGTTTTTCAGTGTTTGCCCAGCTGCAATTAACAATGCTTAGTACTTATGTAGTGATTTTTCTACTTAAAGCACTTTACATAAATTATCTAATTAATCATTATCTAATTAATCTGAGTTATTAGTCTTGAACTATAGTTAGAATATTAATCCAGATGTGAAACAGACTTTGAAACTGTTTTAAACACAGTTTTTAAGACAAACTATGGCTTGGCCAATGGTTATGGAAAGTCTGTCTGATTATATCTGGGTAACATTTCAGTATGAAAGTGCAAGAATATTTAATAATAAAAAGACTGAAAAAACTTGATGCAATAAAATGACTAACTTGTTTTCTTATTTTTGTTTATTCTACTCCACATACATGAATCAAAAGTTCTTTCCTTCCTCCCTTCCATGCCATGTCATGGAGCAGAATGCTGGAATTTGCTTACTTCCAAATATGACAAAAAGAGACAATTAACACCTTATATATCTGTGTGCTTGAACTGTCCCTCTGCTGAATATACCAACTATTCTTTTTGACAACATTGATTTTTTAATTTCATTTCTGATGAATTATTAATAATCTAGACCAAGGTGATAGCAAAGACAATCGATTTCTTCTGCTGAGCATCCCGCAAGTTTTGAGTTCTTGCTTAATAACATGTTGTCCTCTAGATTTTTAATTATTTGCTAGATATTATTTGTGCTTAAATAAAAGGCAGATTACCTTAACACCATTTTTTATATTTTATGTTCAAATTCTGTGAACAGAATCACTATCAACTGAGTTTCATATTTGTATATGTCAAAAATTGATATCTAAGAAAAAATTAAGAGTTAAGGACAATAAGTTCTCTGCTCTATGTCTTTGACCAAGTAATTTAATGTCATTGTGGTTCAGTTTCCTCGTACATTCTGCTACTAATAATGCTTACTTTGAAGTATCATCTAATTGTTCATAAAATAATTTAAAATTCTGCAAAAAAAAATAAAGGGTAAATTATCTGCAGTTCTAGACTATTCAGTAAGAGAAGGGGAATGAATGTTTCTGTGGATGTCAAAACCACAGTCCTACCTCTTCTTACCTTCTCAACTTCTTTTTTTTTTTTTTTTTTTTTGCTTATAGTGGGAGAACAGTAGCAGATTTCCCAAATGAGAGGCAAAACTGACTGGCCCATCCATGATCACAGAAGGTGACAAAGGGGCCTTGTGTTTCTCCATAGGGACCAGACACAGCTTAATTCCAGGTGGACACAGTAAATTTCCCATTACTGTGCAGTAGAGGATAGTAAGGATACCAACAACTAACTAGGACCTATTTCTGAGAGAACTTTCTCACTCTATAGTGACAGTATCACTGGCAACAGCTGCTGGTCACACAAGCCTTTCTTTACAATCAATGGAGAAAAAAAATACATGTTTAGGACATGATTCATTCAAGCTATTTTATACTTACTGACTTATTTAGATATGGGATAAATTGTGCCTTTCTTTTCTGTTTAAGATAAGAGGACCCTAGGTATATACCTCATATAGATGCAAATATTATGTCACATTTAGCCAAACTGTTTTCTGGCTGCTCCTATCTGCAGATATAATTTAGTGTAACAAGATCCATGTTATCAAGGGCTACATGGATGAAACAGGTGTGCTGAGACAATCAGAAGTCTAAAAAGTCAGCAGAGCAAGGAGATCTCCTGACAGTTAAGTTGATTTTATTGAACAACCTAGGAAAGGAATCAGCTTACAGTCAACGTCAGAAGAGAAATTTTTGAAAGCAGAGTGATAGTGTGGTTAATTAATGTTCTGTGGTAAGGATAACAAAATGCTGAACTTGCTGGTCTTGTATAGAATGATTTTAGAAAATTCAAGGTTCCTTTCTTCTGCCAATTTTAAAGATTGATACTGATCAATAAATTACTGAAAATTCATTTTCATGCTATTATAGTAAGAAAAATTATGTGTGCTGATCATTTATACTCTCTTACCTGTATTAAGTCCAGATGAGATTCAATAAATAAAACACAGACATTAGTGGCAAAATTAATTATTGATGCCTATCAAGAAGCAATTAAATTCCAATACCTTACTTTGTAATAGGCTGAAGAAGGTGGAATGATTGTAGTGAAATGGTTTTGTAATATTTGTATTGATCAGTGATAAAATTCTCTTTTGTATTCTCAGTGTCCCAGTAAAACCTTTGGAGGCTTCGATTCTACCAAGGACCTTCCTGATGAGGTTATAACATTTGCAAGAAGTCATCCAGCCATGTACAACCCTGTTTTTCCTATCAACAACCGTCCAATCATGATCAAAACAGATGTGGATTACCAGTTCACCCAGATAGTAGTAGATCGAGTTGATGCAGAAGACGGCCAATATGATGTGATGTTCATTGGCACAGGTGAGATTTCTTGAATCTGCACTGTTTGCCTTACAGGGGCATAGATAAGATAAGATTTCATAATTGTTTTCCAGTGTAAACCTGTGGAAATTTGGAGCCAGATTCCAAACTGTGTGTGTGGGGAACCTTTTGTGTTGCGTAAGGATTCTCTGTTACAGATTCAAGCCTTGGCCTGCACAACTTCATTCCCTAGGAGCCTTGCCAACCAGAGTAGGATCAAACCACTGTCTTTTCAACTACTGTTATTAGGGAGTGTTATTAGAAATATCTTGCTCTATTAATTGCAATTCAATTTAAAATTAAGGTTTTTGAGCTGCTTATTTCATTATCATGAAACACATCATAAGAGGTATTGAAATGAATGAGGCAAGATTCCAGGTACAGGAAATGTCTTCTGTGCCTTTCAGGTATTTCAAATATTGCCTAAAAATGCCCAGCTGTTTAGTCAGAAGAGTCATCATTTTACTTAAGATGCAGATGCCTGGCATATACACGATGTTTTTAAAAAAACTATACCTAAATAGAAACATGTTATCCTTTCAAAAGCATCTGCAGAATCTCATAGCTTGGGCATCTTATCAAAAGTAGAAATATGCATTCAAAGTAGGTAACTTTTCAGAAAGATAATAGCAAGAAATAACAGTGGCCCGAAATTAGCTGATGTGCATGTGATTAGGTCCAATGTCTTCAGAAGAGTTATCCTGCTTAGCAGTTGGTTCATCTACTCCTACACGTTTGATGATTTTCCATGAGTTGGCTGATGTTTCACTTATGTTGAATAAAAGTATGTATATCATATTTTTGTTGAATATAATTGCTAACAATTAGACATTGGCATCATAAAATCAAAACAAAAAGCCCACTGTTCTTTTTCAGCCTTGGACCAAAAATTACTGTTTGTCTTATAACAGTCCAATTTCTGACTTGTTTTAAGTACAGTGTTGGTGATCTAGACTTGGGGTCAGATTTCCAAAGCAATAAATCTCAAGGTTTCTTTCATGCTGTTGCCTGAAATATATTATGAGTAAACTGAAAGCTGATGAAGATTCGTGTACCAAACATGCTGCATATGTAGCAATTCAGAACATTTAGTGCAGGAAATGCAGCTCTGCAAAGAGTTTTCCAGCTTTTGAAAGCTGTGAACCGAGTTATTAAATACCAGCATTACAATATGTTCTTGTGTAAAACATCAGTAAGTGGTTTCATATGATTTTACATAACACATTTTTTCCACCACTGAGAAATACTATCGAGTTTAATGCCATCTTACCTTTGACAGTGCTTTGTGCTTTTCAACAAGTTTTCTATGACCTGATTCAGCCCACAAGAAAAATAATAATAGTAATAATGGCAATATCCCCTTGGCTGAAGTGTGAGAAAATAAGCCTTGCTGCATTCAGGCTAGGATCTAGTCCACTAAACATAAAACGGATTTATACCTACATTTTAAGCATAATACCTACATTTAAGCATTTCACCTAAGTTTGGCATCCAGTGTAAGAAAGATGCCCTGGCTTCTTCAAGTAGGAGAGGTAAATCCTTCCAGAGAGAGATTCATTCAGTCTTCTTAGAGGCCTCAGTTAAAGATGAATATTTACACAGAAGGTCCTGTCTGTCTCCGGGGAATACAGATGACACGCTTAAAATGAATCTATAATCTTTTGATAGTTATCATTATGTACAATGGTTCTTATCTAATCACTCAGGAAAGGTGTCCCTCTGTGGAAGCTTCAGTGGTATCTAGCTCCTACCTTTGTGTTGAGGACTAGGAAAACTCATTTAATTCACTAAACATGTAAAATTCAGGCACATGGTAAGTGCTCTGGATCCCATCCAACACTGCTGCTATTTGCGCCCAAGGACTGTAAGAAAAGTATTGAAATGTTATTACTTGCACTTGCCAAAAAAAGATTTCAGCACCAAAAAGCACAGCTTCATAAGTGTAGAGTGTTGTTTTTTCTCACAACATTTCACTTGCAAACAGAAACTGCTCTTTTTTCCAGCAGAAGGTTACCTCCTCATGGGACTGGCGTCTCAGCTGGGACACCCAGACCTGGGCACGGGGAGACCAAAACTGCACCCCAGTGTTCTGACCTCATTCCTCTTATGGCAATTTTCAGAATAAGGAAGGGCATCTCGCACGCTGCCGCAAAGGGAGAGGAGGCAGCATGAAGGACCCCTGCCACAAACCACCCCTGCTCAAAGTAGAAGTAGCGGGGAAGGAAACAGATACACAATCTGGGCAAATGGCATTTTCCCCAAACAGAGCACAAACTGGGGAGATTAGGGGCTCTCGTTGCAGTCTAGTTTTCCTATTTATTGACCAAGACTTGTTGCAAAGCCAGAATTTAGCCCTTTGGGGTATGACTGAATTTTTCAGGGCAGGTCCGTCCTACCAGATTAGATACACTTCTATTTTCCCATCTCTATTGCAGTGACCTACTTTATTCCCACATGCCGCTGAACTTCAATATGTTAAGGAAACACTTTTTTTTTTTTTTATGATGATGATAATTGAGCACAGCATAATTAATAGCTCATCTAGTGTGGTCTCATTTTCCTTTCCTGTGGGTGAAATCTTTCACCAAGCAGTTTCTTTCCTACTGTGGTTGTACTAGAATGCTTAGGTACTTCTCAAATGAAATCATACAGGAATGCTGGAAAATATATGAGAAAGAACAGCATCTAAAATATCCACTTAGTGCATATCCTCAGTGTCTGCTGTTTGGGCTCATTTGGCACAGTCAAGGTACATCTGTCAGTAAAGCAAATTAATAACAGTAATCTTATCTTACTTACTGGAGCCTATTGATCCTACAGGAGAAGTAGTAAGCCATTTGTGTGAAACTGTTTGAAATATTGCTCTGTAAAACTTGATCTAGAACTCTGATAAAGCTCCACTTTGGTACCTCCGACCTCATTAGAGGCCACAGTGATTAACAAATTGTAACTTTGACCTCAGCAGCTTTCTTTAGCACTAAGCAACTAGAGTAGTTGTAGGATCTCCTTAAAACAAAGAGGTTTTTTATACCCACTGCCCCACACAGATTCTACAACTTCACTTGCTTTGTTTTATCAAAACTCCACCTATATTTCTGCAATGCAACACTGATGGCCTGGGACTGGTGACAGGCACAGTCCAATGCATAATATATGCATGATATATTGCTAAACTATTATTTTTATTAGATCAAGGTATTTCTTATGGCTCTTATAGTGTATTTTCCTCAAAACCACAGTCATCAAATTGGTCTCAAGATAAATAAGGAAATGCATCTATATTTTTATAATGAACATTAACATTATCTGTTCTGAATTATGCTGTTGTAGAAATGTGGATTTTTCTTTTCTTTTGTCATTTTTGGTCATTTTCAAGTTTATACTGCATTTTTTTCTGCAGTGTTCTGGCTACTTCTTGCATTAAATATTTTCAGTGTTTCAATAGTTGCAATATTTCCCGTATTGAATATGGGAAATTATACTTAAGTGCTTGTTTTGAGAGTAAAACTTTAAACGCTTGTTATGAGAACAAAATCTTTATAGTTAGTTCTATTACTTTGATACTTTTATTCATTTTTAAATACTTTATATTTTCCTAAACTATTAATGATACTAAGTGTACAACACAAAACCTCCTCAAGGATGTGGCTGTTACATCTATGATATGTTTTCATGGCATTACACTTAGCTGATTAGAAAGAAAAATTGCATCCAGAGTGGTTCCCATTTCAGGGAGTCTGCAGTGAGGTTTAGCAATGTAGGAATGATGTATTTTCCTTTTCTCCCCACCCCATTTTGGCCCCACCCCCCAAAAAAATTTTATGGAAACAAATAAATATATCACAGGCACAGAAGTTTTAAAACAGAGATGGTCTTAAGTCACAAAACATGTATAAAAAATAAAGTCTGAAATTCTGCTCATTGAGCTTGTTAATGTTAATAACCAATTTTAAAACTCCCGTTAATGTGAAAGGATAAAGTGCTAAAATACTGTCACACACCTATTTCTAAGCAGAAGATACATGTTGTAGTGCTTCTTACCCCTCAGTGGAGACTATAATCTAACATATAGAAATATAGGGGTTTTAAGGGGCATATACATCTTAGATACTTTGTTTGACACAGGGAAGATCGCATGCACTTAAGAGATGCAACAGCTTCATCTGTCTAACAACATTCACTGGATGATTCTGTATCCATCCTGAACCTTCTAACATTTTCACATGCATTTTAACATGAGAGCGAGAAATTCATGCTTCAAAATGGACAATAAAAGTGGCTGGGTAAATGGCTGCCTTTCCATCTTCAGTTTAGTCACTGAAACATCTGACATTTTATTTTGTCACTTAAATAATATCTAAGTCCTGTTCTTTCTCTAACTGCTGAAGTAATATTTCTCTTCCGGTTGCCTTTGTTGAGTTTTGATAATTAAAAGATTTCAGTGAAATGTCCTGGTGAAAGTCTGTATTTTTCTAGATTATTTTAAATATCAGCTGATATTTTGAATGACTTGTGCTGAGTGATACATAGTTTCCTAATCTTTACATGTGAAATAATTGCATATTACAAGATACCGAGATCTCTGGCTACTCTGAAATAGAGATTTGCTTATTAGAAACCTGAATTTTTTTTTTTTTTTTTTCCCAAGATATTGGAACAGTTCTTAAAGTGGTTTCAATTCCTAAGGAGACTTGGCATGACTTAGAGGAAGTCTTGCTGGAAGAAATGACAGTCTTTCGGGTAAGTGCAGCTGAATTTCAAGTGTCAGGTTGTGGATTTGGCTGTGGACAGCTGCAAAGGGAACTTCTTGTAGTCTAGCCAAGGACCAGCCTGGCATGCCCCTCTAATTAGCTTGTCACTTAGAGACCCAGACACTAGTCAAAATAAACCTTGAAACTTTCTGTGCTAGCTGGTGGTTATTGATAAAGAAATAGCATTCTGGGCTCTCGCTTTGTGGTTAAAAATAAATTAGTACCTGTGGATCCTGTAGGCGTTTCATGCTACAGTTAAATATGAATATGTGAAAGTAGTGGAATAATGTCTATTTTCTCCTGCACAGACATGCAGTACAAAAATTTTAGAGGCACATAAAGTCTTGACACTATTCAGATTATCAGCATAACATCACTCTAGGATGCTGTCTGAGGAAAAACACTGTTCAGAAAAGTTTTCTTATGCCCAGCAATTTCAGATTTTACTTTTGTTTTTATGAGTGTTATTATTATTATTGTTATTTTTCTAATGGGCGGTCTTGCCTCTAGCAGTACCAGTATTGAATAGATTTCTTACAGGGGCCGCTGTTTTGAGCCCAGAGACAAGAGTTCCTGTTTTAATGATGAATAGCCATTCATTTTCTGAGGGCTTTTCTGAGGGCAGAAATTGTTGTTGTTGTTGTTGTTGCTTTAACAGAAAAATAAAGTAGAAGCTATAAGGAAAAAATGAGACAAGTAATTTGTGACTCTCACCTTTTTCTTTATTACACATGCAAAAGTTGTTACATTAACGCACGGTAATTTAGCAATCATTGATAATGTATGAGTCTCTTTCCTAAATAAAGTAGAAGTGCCAAACTAAAAGAGAGCAGAAAAATCTAAAAGGGAAAGAAAGATAAAAAATAAATGAAATAAAACGTTTTTTTTTTCTGTTGTTTTGTTTTCCCCAGAAAGGCTTTACAGAAGACATAGGCTTAATGACAAACTCAGATTTGGGATTTCATTTCACTTGTGTATTTATTTATTACACAAAAGGATTATGGTGTTCTGATATATTCAAAAGCTTCTTTATCTATCTCCTTTGGCATTCATTTAAGCCTTAAAGAAGTCATTACTGTACATCAGTAGAATGAACAGAATTTGTGTGCTTAAGATACGGATCTTTTAGTAGGAATTTGCAATACATTTTAAATGTATCTTAACTAAATGTGAGTTTTCCCTGGTCACAAAAGAGCCTATCTCCGTGTTAAGGAATATATTTTAATGCCTTAATTGCTTTGTGCTGAGAACAATGGTTTTCATTTATAATTCCACTAAACTAAAATTCCCTCATATCTTTTACATTGATAACAAATACCTCTTTTAACCCCATTTATGCAAAATTTCTCTGAACAGCTGAGCAAACAAATGAATGAGTTCAACTTCTATTCAAATGTTACACTTAATTGATGCTTTCTAAAACAAAGTCTGTTAACCCATTTGTAGAGGCAGGTCCACATCCTTAACATTCACTGACCCATATCAGATTCTCTAAGGATCAACAGTTAAAAGCTGCTCAGTACGAACTTTATTCATGTACATAGCCCAAAATATGATGTATGGGATCAATAGTAGACTTTTAGATTCAGTGTAGTTGAAGATTTGACTTGAAGAATTTTGTAATCAAATGATGCATTTTCTACTTCCCATTCAAACAGCTGGAACTGAAAATAAATGTAAATAACAGCCTTCTAATCAAGTCTCAGTGCATTTATTATGTTAAATATGGACTACAGTCTTTTATCTCGGAAAGTAGGTATTTGTTTAGTATCTGCTTGTTATAGATCAGTATAATTAAGGTTAGAAATTTAGTTAAGAGAACACTAACTCTTCTACTGACCCACATGGTTGATTAAATAATGGATATTCCGGAGTGTAAAAAAATATTGCTTGCTTTGATTCCCCATTCTTCAAATATGAGTAATTTTTTGTATGAAAATATTGCAGTCCAGTCAACAAGATTAGAGCTGTGATTAGAGTTTGTTCTTGTGAATAAAAATTGTCAGGATTTTTTTCCCTTAATACGGTTGAGGTGTGTTGTTTTCATTCTATCACTCATAATATACCATATCTATGTATTTTGGTATAGCTATTATTATCCTCATAGTTTTGGGGTGATTCTTTAAAGTTAGTTCTAATATTAATTTCAGACAGTGAAACTAGTGACAAAGAGTATTCATTGTGAAATTGCAAACTACATGGGGAATTGTATGTCTGCAGTCGGTGTAGCACTTAATGATGCAGTCGAACATCCACAGGATTCTAATTCTCTTATAAAATATTTCACTCTAAAAGGAGTGAAAACAAGAACTCACATTGCTAAAGAATATCTAGCTTAATTTCAGGCTTTCTAAGCAAGCAAATAGCATTTCAATAGAACTTATGTTTTGGGGGCTTATTTTATATTTTAACTCTTTTTTTGTTCCCTAGGAGCCCACTGTTATTTCAGCAATGAAGATTTCCACAAAACAGGTACTGTATGCACAAACTTTAAATCACCTTTAAGTATTTATTGGCTTCTGTTTTTAAGAGACAGTAACTTGGCAGTTGGTAAAGACATATTAATTACAGCAGCAGCATCCCATCCCGTTATATAAACATCAGTAGTTTCTCAGGAAAATGTGACATGCAGAGGGAAAAGGAAAAGTCTAGTTTGTGTTTTACTAGTAAGGTGGAAACTAAACACAAACCAACCAGCCGTCTGGAGGCTCTCAAGAAAAAAAAAATGACATTACTGAATGTTTCTTTGACAAAGAAACTATTTTTTAAAAAGTGTCTAAATTTGGTCCCTCACTCTAGTGGGACTAGTTCTATTCCTTGTGGGATTAGTACCACGTTCTGTAAAAGGAAATTCAGTTCAAGTGACAGGGCTCTGACTCTAGTCAGGCACAGAAGTATTAGTGAAGGAAGGGGTCACCAGAAGATTATTATCTAACCCAGCTGTGGCCCTACCACCTTGAGATGATTTAGTAGAGCTTCAGTAAGTACAGAATAATCTTTAGGATGTACGAAGTACTGAACGGCTCTATGAGCAAACACAAAATAAACCAAGACTTGTCAGGCTGCAAAGCATCTCAGTGTGCAGATGGGCAGGGGCACTAAGAAAGACACAGGGAGCTCTGTACATTCCTGAGAGGCGTGACTGCCTTCTCATCAAAGGATATTCAGAGAGTGTCATGGAAGAAGCTGAAGGAAATACCTTTTCTATACTTGCAGATATTTGGGTGGTTGCAAAAAAGGGAATTCAAATCATTGATAGAAGATTATATCAATGAAATTCTGAGCAACAAGATGGCGTGGAAGCTTGGGGGAATTAGTCTTTTTGAACTAGGTGCTTCCAGTTTTCTCAGCTTTGTGTGATTTGTAGGCTAATTTTGGAAATACTAGCACCTTGTTCACACTCATTTTATTCCAGTAATGTCACTGTCACTACAGAAGACGTTTTATAGGACTGGGTGCACCAATCCTACAGTAGTAGTAGGAGGAGGTGTGTCTTCTAAAAAGATTCATCTACCTCATTCTATACATTATTGAGTAAGAGTTAAATTTGTTCTGTAATGGACAGAGCCCAAAATGCTGTTTGAAATGTTTCACATTTAACTAGAAATTCATTGTATATATAAAAGTTGTCTGAAAGCATTCATGTATTTGACAGAAAACATTCTGTTTGGGGTGACTTTTCTGACATAGTTTATCAGCGAAAAAAAAAATGAAAATGGCAGGACCAAAAAATATAGTATTGAACAATGAGATATTTAAAAACAAACCTGTCAAGTTGTATATATGTTCACATCATACCAAAATGCTCTGCTTTGGCTTATTTTTGTAAGTACATTCCTTTAAAGCAGCTGATCACATTTGATAATGGGCCATGCATTTTAGTACAACCTCTTCTTCAAAGCATCTTTATTTATTCAAGAGAGATTACAGTTTTCCCTGAGCCTTTTGAAAACAAATTTACAATATTAAAATTGTCTAAAGCTAAAAAGAGCATAGAATGTTAGTTATTCAAGCAAAGTTAAGCTCATGAAAAATCAACCAGCCTCAGGCGAAAAGTGACAGAATCATGATACAGTGTGACAAGCTTTTGGCACTGTCTGTGCATCAAATAAGTCTTTGGCAACATGTTTCCATTTTATATTTATGGTTAAAAGTACTGTCGTTTTACAATTCAGACACTTTACTCATTCTGATAAGCAGAGGGTTTTCGTAAAAACAGCACCATTCTATGTGTTGATCAAAGCAGGAACATGGAATGTAAACAATAAAATCAGCATGTTCTATTTAATATTTCCAACGAAATCACTTTATTCTTTCACTAGCAAATATTACATCCAAATATAAAAGCACTTGTATGGGGGAAGAACGGGGGTCTCCTTACTTTGGGAGAGTTATGCCCCTCTGTATAACTATGGCCCTAACTATCTGACCCTTGAGCAAGAGTTACTTCTAGCAAGGACTTTATGTGCAAATTAAAACTAAGTGTTGATACATTAATTTTGAACTCTGACATCTTTAACTCACAGGAATTATATTTTCTTGCTGAAGCAGCGTATTCCTCCCAGCGATGCTTAGAGCCCTAGATCCATTTTAGCATTATAATCTGAATGAGGCTTAAGCTTAGGGAGCATCGTTACAGACTTCCAAGGGCAGCACCCTTGAGCCTCTGTAATAGTCTGCAGCCACTTAAAAGTCACAGTTCTGGGGGACCCACACTGCTCTTAGAGCCTCTCACGTGAGGCTTCAGAATTTGCTTCTTGACTTAAAAACATGGCCTTAAATTCATGCCTGGCTTTCAAAACCAAATAGACAGTTATCTTTCAACATGTGTACTGTGGTCTTCAATAAAAAGGAGTTTAAGGAAGCATTTGCTAAAGTTCCTTTGAAAATTCTGCCTAAATAATTCTTTTTAAGCATTTCTTTTTTCACCTCTCTCTCTCTTTTTTTTTTTTTTGGTTGTTTTTGTTTGTTTGTTTTGATTGCAAACAGAAACTCTCTTATTGCTTTCTGTAAGTGCTAGGGAAATACTGCTTTTAGGGCAAAGTCATGTGGCTAACAGAGACCACCTGATTGCTGCAAACTTGCTCTTTTCTATAGTTCAGATACTTAAGCAAAAATTTTTAGAAAACTTTTTTTTTTTTTGGCTTTGGTTTGATCTGATAATCAACTGATTTATTAAATTAAAAACCTCTTGGGAGAGCCTTTGCCCAAAAGGCAGTTTGACTCTGCCAAAGTAAGGTCAAACCATTGATGCAAATCATTCCATTACTACTTTTTAAGTTTCATTCTGACTGGATTTATGTATTATTAGTGTCCAAAATAATGATCACCAGCTGGAGTCCAAAAGCATGATCAGAAGAGCAGCACACAGGGCAGCCTCTAGGCTGTGTAGCACCTGAAACCCTGAAACACATGGACCGAACTTTATGAACTTATGTACAAGGAATAGAGTCTTTAAGTAAACCTATTCTGGCCTCTTTTTTTTTTTTTTTTTTTTTTTTTTTTTTCTGCCTTATCTTCTGGTCATTCCCTAATTCTAAAGTTCTAAAGACATTTGTTAGAAATCAGGGAGGGTTTTATTTTTGACAAAATGAAACTGGTTACAGTGGTGCCTAGGAAACAATTACGCTATACTTCTTTATTTTCCTATATGCATACTCTGCGTTGATTTTTATATTAGCTGCAGCACACATTGCTACACACATATATATATATATCAATGCACCAATTACCTAGGACCCAGATCAATACCATCTGGACATTTCAGATACTTAACTGAAGCTCTAATTTGACCTTTGCTTCCTCTATAATCAGTAAAGAGAAAAGGCATCTCTTGAGAAATGGTTAGGTCACCTAAGATTTGAAGTACTGCCGTTTTACACCAGAATATAGCCCTAAGCTGGGGTGTCATTAAGTGTCTTAAGTTAGGGAGAACCTGCCTATCGTGCTTGACGCCTTCCATTTGGTTCGCAGGGATACAACACTAGCTGGGGACTATTACATGCAATTAAGGCTTTACATAGAGCTCTGTGTGGTCAGAGACTTTTGCCAAGAGAATGTGGTTTTACAGTCTGACTAAGGCGCTGTAATAGACGGAAGCAGCTGCTTAGATAGGGCTTAGTTTGCAATTTATGGTGAGTTTTCTTTTGTCCTTTTTTGTCTCTTTTTTTTTTTTTTTCTTGAGAAATGCCTGTTGTTTATATAAAGGCCAAGGATGTTTCTGTTGTAATTAATATGTCTATATAAACTGCCAAGTTGCTGTCTCTGAACGAAATGGATGCGGCACCTTTCACAAGAACTTTAGGATTTGCTATCTCCTGGTATCCTGGTTTGTCATTTCCAGGAGACTGGTAACTTCAGCCAACTTGCATCCTTGAATTTCCTGTGAGTGGTGCCTCCAAGACATCACTTTTTGATAAATATTCTTCAAATCCTACTTTTCACATCAGCCCTATGTTTACTGAAGTGAATACAGTTTTGCATTTTTGTGGTAGGTCTGCTTACGGATAGACCTTAAAAAGAAAAAGTGCTGGATAACAAAATTCAAGCTTTTGATTGCTAAGTTTAAGTGTTTTCAAAACTGTTAGATTATGCCATTTATCTTTTTGTTTATATATTTATTTTGTGTTCTCCTAGTTTTATGTCTCAGGGGGAATTGTGTTTAATTACAACACTTGGACTTATTTTCTTTGTGAATTAGTGCTGAGCTGAAATAGCTCTTTTATGATTTTCACATGGGTAGGTAGTTCACTTTCCTCATGCCCCTTTTGGGACTCGCTAACCAGATGGACCACATAAACTTGATTTTTAAACTTTATTTCCCTTCATCAGATCCTCTCCTTTGAATTGCATCTTCCACTAAACACAGGGCTTTTCTCCAAAATCAAAGAAACCATGTTCAGTTAGGGAAGTGGACTGTAGAAAATAACATAAAGCATCAAAAAATACCGATACACAAAGGACTATGTCAGCACTTCCAAGCTAAAATGTCTCAGCATCTGTCTGAAATAACTAATTTCTGTCTGAAATAATAATAACAATAAAGTACTATTTTATGTAAATATTTATTTATTTATTTTACTTTTATAACAGCAACAGCTCTACATTGGCTCAGCCACCGGAGTTTCACAGCTTCCTTTGCACCGCTGTGATGTGTATGGAAAAGCATGTGCCGAGTGTTGCCTTGCGAGAGACCCTTACTGTGCCTGGGACGGCTCCTCCTGCTCACGTTACTTCCCCACTGCTAAGAGGTAGGGGCAGTTTCGCCTGTCTGCCTGCCTCGCTATTTGTTTTAACTGATGGTCTTAATATGACCAGAGGGCTTTGGAGATTTTGCATGGGACAGTTAACAAGAGCCCTTCCTATTCCAAAGAAAACATAATTGCTGGAGATATGAGCTGTGTGAAGTCCTGGTTGATTTAAAGTGAACACTGCTACTCCTTGGATTGGCTTGAAAGGCTGCTGTAGAAAAAACATTTGGAAAACCGTTGTCTCTGAAATGTACTCATAATTTTTTATTTCCTAGTAAATTGGAGCAAGAAAAAAAACATTTTTTTGTCTAATGTGAGAAAGGGAGATGCTATTAAAAATATATTTTAAAATGTACTCTCCTTCCAACTAGCTTATCTCACATTTTCATGAGTTCCAGCATACAGAAATACCTATAAAGTGTTTGAACGTGAATGAAAAGGTGTTACTTAGTGATATATAGCATGATTGTTATTATTTAAAAGTATCATTTATATGTGTTGATATGTGTGTAAATGCTACCAGATCACAACGATAACGATTTTACATTCACTCTGCTCTGATGTTAAAAGCTTTGCAATGTAAAGGTTAAGGGAAAACAGATTCTACAAGTAAAAAATGTATTTTTTATAAGAATTTACAAGTCCAAGTTGCCTGGTTTGAAGATTTAAAATCATATTTCCTTTGCCTTCTTTAGTCTCAGAAATTCTTGCTCTTTACAACCTGCTGTTCATTACTAAAGTAGAAATGAGTAATAGCCGAATTAGTAAATGCTTGCAAATAAGAATACTACTGGCATAGTGCTGAGAGTCTTTCCCTTGATGTATTGGTCAAGCAAATGATGAAAAAATGTTCAGAGAGAAATCATGTCAAAGCAAATATGTCAAACATCTTACACCTATGCAGAACCAAAGAATTTATATGCATTAAGGACCCTCTATCTTAAAATTAATGTTAACAAATGCTTAGTTGGGAATGTTAGGACTCCAAATTCCAGATCTGGATTGGTTGTTGGAGGGGGGAAAACATGTTGGAGGATGAAAAGTGGTATTTGTGTCATAAATTTTTCATATGGAGAGGATTAAAGTGTCAGCTTTTGCATTGCCGTGTTTGAAAAAAATGTTTAATTGTTTTTTGTTTGTTTTGGAGAAACAAAAAAGTTTCTCTCTTATGTTTATGGAACATAATGGAGAAACTGAATCCATTCCAGAAAAAGCACTGGTTGGGTTTTGTCACCTGCATTGACTAAATTCAAATTTATGGTAGGAGCAGAGCAATTTCTCTGGAGGAAGGCAAGGAAGGAGAGGAGAGGGAACGCTGAGGGCCTGAGAGGCTCATCAGCTCCAGGCTGGAAGGCAGCATGGTTGTGCGATCTCTTGAGTCAAGGAAGGAGGACAGGAATTGCTGAATCACTCTGCTCTTCCCCAAGTACTCTGAGCCTCCTCTTTTTTTCCCATTTGCTAGCGCTATTCCTATTCCCAGCACATCTCAGGACCCACGGATAGCAAAATCCTGTCATTCACCTGCTTACTTGGATGCAAGGAATAGGGTGCTCTGTTTTTCTTCTCCCTCTCTTCACCTTTTTGTCATCAGCAGCAGGCCCAGCTGCCTGCTGTCATCAGAAGCGCAAAGTAGCCTTCCAATTGGGATGGGAGGACAGGGAAAAGACTTGGGCTAACAAGCAGCAGAGCTACAGGAAAACCTAGGGGTGCAGGATTCCCACTTCTTGAGGCCAGCATGAAAGAAGGCTGGGATCCCAACACGGCATGCACAAAACAACACGGTCCTACCCCACTCCACTTCTGCCTTGGCAGCAGCATCAGGAAAAGGCTCTGGTAGCAGAGGAGGGATCTGCTGTTTGTCTGCTACCTGCTCTCCCCCCTTTTCTGCAGCCAGCCTTGAATCCATCTGTGACAAAATCGGCACTGCTGGAAAAGGCTTCAATGTCAACATTTTCCTAATATAGCATCCCTGTAGTTTAAGGCTTCAGAAATATTGGGAAGTCGAGTCCTGAGGCACTTGTGCAGATGCTTTACTAATACTGCTCCCTCCACCCCTCCTTTTTTTTTAAGGGAGCTTTTATGAGCCATGATTTTAATTTGCTTTTCTCTCTTTGTGTATTTAAGAAGTCTAAATGACAGTTGAGAATGCCTGCAGTGTGACCACTTAACTCTGCCCCATGCAGATGTGTTCTGGCTCATATTTCATGGATCATCATGTTGATACAAGGCTGATATGTGCGACATTTTCCTGAGATTCTAACTAAACATCTCCTCCCAGGTCCACTGACAGTAATATGAGTCTTTCCACAAGCTTCTTTCCTACAAATAGTATCCTATAAATATGCTGCCCTTTGAAATTTAGGGAGGGAGTAATAAAATACTGTATTTATTCTCCTTTATGTCTTGGATGTATTTTTATTTGTTGAAAATGAGGAAGATAAACATGACCTCTGATATTAGGATCAGTGCATATTTTTGAATCATATATCAATCAACAACGTATTGCTTCTTAATACAGCATGTTAAGGTGTCCTGTTATACAGGGATAATTTTTGTGAAGTTTTTATTCAGAAAGATATAAAAAATTCACGCTTTCCATTATATATTTTTAAAATGTTTTTTGGTAAAAGCGGTGTGACATTTCACATAAATAACTTCAGAGATAACACTTCAGTAGTATTCAGTGAAAAAAAAAAAAAAAAAAAAGAAACCTAGAAGGTTAAAATGTTTCCATGCGCAGAAGTGGGCTGGTGCCCCTGTGAGAACTCTTCCCATGTGCTGATGCTGGGCTCTTACTCAGAGCTTGCAAATAGGGCTGGTGACCAGAAGAGAGCTGCTCTCTGTGCTGCAGAACAATAGCTCCTTAAAAATGTGGGCTCTTGTCACAAGGGAGGGACCATCAGTGCTTTTTACAAGGCTACTTGACTTCTGCATATCCGTTGCTGGATGCAGTAAGCTGAAATCACAGCACTGTGCAGCAGCCTAATCCTCTTTGTTCTCCTCTAGTTTTGCAAGCCCTCAGGCTTTCTCTGATTCCTAAAGTAAAGTGCTCACACTTGAAACACAGCTTTGTTTGCCTTGTTCCTTTCTTTTCTCCTTTTTTTTTTTTTAGTATGAAACTGTTTTCTGTGGCTCAGTTGAATTTTGAGTCACAGCTATTTGAATAAAAAAAGGAGAAGACAAAAACAGAACAGTAAATGCAAAATAAGACAGTATAAAAAGGCTTTTTCTTTCTCCCTCTCTCCCTCTCTCTTTTTCTTTTTGAAATACAACATTTTAGCACAAATCAATATGTTCTCCAGAAAAAAAAAAAGAGCAGATCAAGCCGGGGAAAGAATAAATATGTTAAGTGGTTATGCAATAAAAACTAGAACCAGAACTAGAATCAACCTACAAAAGATGGAATAAATGTAGAAAATATAATCCTGGTTTCCTTTTAGACATGTCCATCTTAAACTTTCATTTCAAGTAAAACTGCTATTAAATTTTAAGTATTCTGTGCTTGCAGAAAAGTTTCATCCTATTTATATTTTTGGTGCATGTTAAACTGTATGTATTGTTATGGTTTGATGCCTTAGTTGACCCTACTATGAATGAAGTCTGCTCTGATCAATGTCACCAGCAAAGCTGAAGTTCATAAGCTCAGTGCAACAGAGACATGTATTATAACTGTAAAGGCTGATATCATGAACTGTGATAATGCACAGAATATGGTAACAAAATAATTTCCTTCATAGTGCTGTTTAGATGCATTCGTATAACCCATATAGTTTTAAATATGTTCCTTTTGTTGCTCCTGAGTCGTGTCAAATGTACGTATGGCCACGGAGAATGTCTCTAACAGTTTCCAAATGTGGTATTTGTAGGCGTACAAGGCGACAGGACATCCGAAATGGAGACCCCCTTACTCACTGCTCAGACCTGCAGCATCATGGTAAGTTGTGAGTATTAGCAAAGTAAAAACAATTTGAACGTAACTTACACACTGTATATGAGTAGAGCAGGAAGCAAATGAATCATTTGGTAGGGGATTTTTCTTAACATATAGGAAAGATGAACGATATTCCAGTTTTGGTTGCTTACAGTAGCCTGGATCAGATTTAAAGAATCTCATTTATGTTTTTTCTCAAGTTAACAATTTTAACCTTTTAAACTTTTTTTTTTTCTTCTCTTGCCTGATAATATCATCCCATCGTTCTAGGTATATTGTGTCAGAGAACAGCCATACCAGTTTATGTGTTGCTTCATATAGATTTGATAGGATGATAACCTACCACATAATTAAGCACCCTGGTTAAACATGGCATGGCAATTAGTGTAGGTGCCCCACTAGCAGCTTCTTAGAATCAGCATTTTCCTAGGAATATACCTGTCTCGTGTTTTCAAAATGGATTTTCCTTGCCATCTTTTTGGTTCCGTTGACTGTGTTATTTCCACATAGTGTACTGACCGGAATTTTGGGCTTCTTGGCTGATAAACCTGACTTCTCATTCTCGCAGTTACCAGTTTGTTGCCAACCTCTTCAGATCCTCACGCACAAATTTTTTTTTTTTTTTTTTTCTATTTTCTCCTAACTGAGCAGAACACTTAGGCAATACTTCCCTCTGCTGGAAAAAAAAGCTGATTACTCATGTTTAAGTTACATCTATGATAATAGTTAGCTACCAGGCAGATTTCTGGTGTCCATAAAGTAGATGTGGCTAAAAAATGAAGTGTCTCAAAACTCTCATGTCTTCCACTCCTTCTAATAGCAGAAATGACAAATAGTCCAAACTCATGCTGTTCGCCACTGTATTTTTCACCACCACTGTTTTCTCTACTTTTCTTTTTAATCCCTGAACCCCACAGCCAGCATTACTGCTGTTTCTTTTTCTACATCATGATCCTCAGACTCAGGACAAGTTACTAGGAGAGGAGAAGGGTTTGCAAATGTGAATAAATGGACTGTGATCAATGTGCAGTTGGCACATTTTGTGAATCAGGAATGCAGAACTTTGTGAACTAGTCATTTTGAACTGACAGCAAGGTTGTCTTCAGTTTCATTCTTCAATTTCATTATGTTTACTAATGCTTGCTGGCAAAAAGTTATATTAAAATGCAGCAAAAGTTAGCTAGTTTTCTTCTCTATGTATTTTACCCAATGTAGATGAGATGATCCAAGAACTAGTACTAGGGCTGATATGGTATTTTCAGTTCCCCAATATGAAATTTTCAAAAGGCTCTAGATGTGAACTTTGTTATCAGAAGATACATGCCTTGGACATTGCGCTCACCTTACTATCTCCATCTTAAGGCCATCCATTAAGATTTGGGCTATCGCAGGCTCAGTTCTGTTTTTGTTTTGTTTTTGTTTTTCATGTTCCCTTCCATTTACTAACTGTATTTTATGAGGCAATAGGTCTATTGGTTATCTTCCTAGACAAGAAAAGTAAGAAAGTAAGATTAACTCCTTCTCTCTAAAAGAGAGGGAATAATCCAGTGCAGTTCTTTCATTTATTACTTACTTGTATTTTTTGGTTACTTGCTACATGACAATCATGAGAACACAAGATCATGAAAAAGCTGTTATACGCTACGCTTTGTCATAAGGAGCTTAAACAGAGACTTCTTTACTTTTGCAACTTTGTTAAAGGCACAAATCAGAGAAATAGGAGATGAGAAACCACTTGGAAAAATGTTATTTAATGGCAAAATGAAGACAGTGATTAGAAAAAATGGTAACTTGCAAAAAGTACCAGAGGAACATAGTCCTAGGCTTTAGACCTGAAGGATGCACTGACAGAGTGTTTTACACAATGATGCTTTAGCTTGTTTTAGGAAAATCTTCCCCTCCTCTTAATTCAGACTTTTAAATTTGTAAAATTACTACATTCACTTGGCATTTGCATAGGGAAATATGTATCATGTTTTACACAGACAGCTGTATAAACTGGCCATGCAAACTCACGCTGAACTTTTCCTTTGGTTATCACTAGTAATTTCCTGGACATCAGGTGCCAAATTGAGAGTGTTTATAGGCAAGAATGTGCTCCAGCAATCTTTTTTTCTACTTTCTACACATTCCTTTGTAATACCTGGCAATTGATTCTTCATGTGAATCAACAGAAATACGAGCTAAGAAAGATCTGTTATTGTATATCTGACTTGTAAAGACATTGCAGAAAAATGCCAAGGCCTCAAACTGAATCAGCACCTTTTAATGAGGTGTAGGTCGCGCTATCACTTGACCTTTTATTCAAATATATGGAAATACTATAAATTCACTACCAAACAATATTAGAGGGAAATGAAGATTCTTAGCTCTATAAATACATGACCAAAAATATACCATATAAAATCATGATCACCTTTGTCAGGTAATAGAAATTTCTTTTTAAGCCTTTCAGGGTATCACTATCAAAAAAGTCTCAAGTTATTTTTTGGAACAATTTGTGAATGAATAGCCAGCTTTTTTCAGTGATCAACACTGGTGGGATCTCACAGAATTGCTCTGAATTTGTCGTATAGAGAGATGGAATAAAGAGAATCTGTGAAGCCGTCTTGAGAGAATCTGTGAAGCAGTCTTGGTATAACTACTTAGCCACTCATAGTTCTTCAGCTATGTCAGAGATTACATGTTTAAAGGATCTTTATCACGATAGTAAGCTGATACAGCAATTGAGTTAACTTTGCAAATTACAGCTCTCAGGTTGACATTTTGGGCTGAATTTCATAACCAGCTTCATAATGTAGTTTTCAAATTCCCCAGCTGCTCTCCTGGACTTTTCAGACTTTCATTCTTCCTCCTACTTTCTCTTGAGGCCTCTCCCTACTCCCAGAGCTTCTTTCTGATGTTGTCGTTATGCCATCACTCTGCTTACTTTCTTGTATTTCATGTGCTCAACATTATGTGAACACTATACTCATTTCTGGTTCTGCCTTCTGCTACTTTGCATTGTGGAAATGGAATTTGAAGGGTCTCTTAAATCCTCCTCTCATTGCATGGCTGTTGCCTGTACTATATTGCTTAGATCTGAACAAATTTAAAGGGGACTTCTGCTTCTTTCCATGGGGATTTCTAACAGGTTAGAATATTATGGACCAGACCCAACAAAACACTTGGAAGAATACAATGGCATCAAGGAACCCAATTTCAAAATAATTTCTGTGAAAACTGTGACAAGCTTTTTTGGTACCCAAGATGTTGTAAACATTTAAGATTTCTGTCAGAAACTCCCTGCATACTTTAAATTATGCTACCGCTCATGGACAATTAAACCTAAAATAAGTATCTATATTTGTCCTTTACGATTATATTTGGAGTCTAGAAGTTTGTCTTCTTGGATCTAAAGAGCCCAGTACCCAGCATTGTTTGTTCTTCTCCTGTATAAATCCACTTTGACTGTGTTGTTTTCAGTAGTGCTGCAAAACACCTGTGCCAAATTACTAACCTACAGTTGAATCAGTTATGTAGGATGTGCCAGAGGAGGATTCAAAGCCAAGGCCATCCAAACTATCAGATTGCTCTTGTTGAATCCAGGCCATTCTGTGATCACGAATGAAAAATTAATGGAGCGGGAGAGAGAGGGACAGAAAAAGACCTCCAACTCAAGGGTAAAATCCTTGTGTTTCCATCTTTTATCCGGAAAGTCTGTAAATCTCAGTTTCACAGAAGCACGTAGCTGAAACAGTAACATATGTGTCCCAGACAAACAAAAGGGAAGTTTCAGTCATATCATTCGTATAACATTTCCTACTGTCTGTCTAATGTATCACAGCCCTGCATGCAGTTTCTGTTGTGGATCCCAGGTCAGTTCTTGAAGTGTTTCTTGTTGATCGTATGAGGTCATTTGCTGCCTGATCAGTGTGAATTATGTTCAGGACACCTAAGTCAAAAAAGTGCCCCAGATCACTCTGTTCAGTCTGGATCCATGGTCATCATCAATCATTTCTATTCCCAGTCTTTGTATTATCACTCCCAGTCATATTCAGTTTGCTCCTTTACATACTTCCAGTTCCTCTGCTTTATTGACACAAATGGGCCCAGGCTCCACCTCAAACCTTTCCACTGGTACCTTTGGCAACCTTCCTGCTTTGCTTTCTGACATACTCATTCTTCTAATGTTCCCCACCTTCCTGGCACAAAGCTGCATTGATATTCTTCGTAGGGATGTGGTTTTTGAGGAATGACGAATATGTTGATTCATTTACTTGTTTATATAGCACCCCACTTGCTTGCTGTAAAGGTTTGCAATCTATCAGAGGAAAGCAAGCTAACCCATTCCTTATTTGTTTAGTGTTTATAGGCCATTTGATGCTTCATTGAGAAATGGGCCTAATAGTGATAAATGTTTCTGTTTTATCCTCATCCCTCCTCCCATCTTCTTTCAGGACTGAATGTCATTATAAAAAGACGTATGATTGCTGTGTCAACAGGAACTCAATTTTATTTTTACCTTTGGCTCAGTAGTCTAGCAAACAGCCTGTGTTTGCTAAACAACATGGCCAATATAATAAAGGAATAGTGAAGGCAAACAAACCTCGAAAAAGAGTTCTCTGAGATGATTTTAATAGACATCATTTTCCTGTTAAAACATATTCAGGTTTCTGAAAGACTTCCAGTGCTAAAAATCAAAAGCAGAAAGTGGAAAGAATGACAAATAATGGAAAAGAGGCAGGAAACCCCATGAGATCAACATGGTGTTAAACAGCTTACCAACCCCTTCCTCCACAACTATTCTCCAGGATTATTGTACTGTTGCCACTTAAATCCATAACTACATTTTAAAGAGCTAAGGTGAAGAGTTGAAATATGATGCCTTACTGCCTCTGCGGTATTGGAGAAGAATCAAATGCCATATAAGTCCTATAGTTATGTGATATTTCCAGCAAGTTGATGAATATCTTGAAGCATTGTTGTTACAAAAGGAAGTAATTTATTTAACTTTATTTTCCCCTCCCATAATGTCTATTTTATTAACCTCATTACATTTCCATAAATTATATCAGTATGAGAGGAAATGATTAATTGAAGATTGTTTCCTCAAAAACATTATTCCTGGTCATTAACAGCTTATATAGCAGCAAACTGCTATACCATATAATCTAAACACATTATACTGCTTTTAAATAGCTTCATGTTTTATTACTTTGTTCTAAAGTATTATAATCATAGAGCCCAGGAGGCATCATTATAGACATTCTGCAACTGCACCGTGAGTTTTCTCACTGCATATACCTTCCTATTAAAAACTCTTATCGTATCCTAGATGCTTTCTTGATAAGTAATAATGTGGTTTGCAAAGAAAATCACAATGAAGACCATTAACTTCACATATTGAGATGTTAACAGCTTTTAAGATTTAAATATATAAATGCACGACCTTAAAAATACCTACAAGTATAGGAATATTGATGGAGATATTCCAAAAACATAATGATCTGGGAAAATCTGTAATTTTTTTGGACTGCAAAATACCTTCCACATCCCAATTTCTAAATTAAAAAAAAAGAAAGAAATGCCGTTAATTTTTTTTGTTTACTGACTTTTTTGATTCTTTCTATTGTTTTACTCTCTCTCTCCTTTTTTTTTTTTTATATTTTTTCTTTCTTTCTTTACAGATAACCCAAGTGGCCAGACCCTGGAGGAAAAGATTATCTATGGAGTAGAGAATAGCAGCACTTTTCTAGAGTGCAGTCCAAAATCTCAGCGTGCCGTAGTCTATTGGCAATTCCAGAAACAAAATGATGACCGCAAAGAAGAGGTAGAGTAGAAAAAAATAAAAAATGCATCTACTCCTTTTTATGAAAATTACTTGAATCTGAGTTCTTTTCAGCAAAACACTGTTTGCCCTTCCATTCAGATACACCTCAGATCTCAACAATATCTGAGAATCAACAATTCAGATATACTCAATTTTCCCTTTGCAGATTATCAGCAAAAGCTGGCATACTATCCAAAGTTCCACTAAAATCATCGTGGAAGACTTATTTTGGGATCCGAATATTTCAAAGACATGAAAATTTTCTTCTGGGGGAGAGGGAAGGGGGTTAACTCCATTATTATTATTATACTATTTATCTGAAAGAAACAACAGAATGTTTATGTACTGTATGCTGTAAGTCTTAACTACGGGTAAGACAAAGAGGCAGAATGACAGACTGGAAACTGTATGAAGCCAAAGGATATGAAAGCTTGTGTGCATATTGTGCATATTTTGCTTCAATATTCACAGAGGTAAAAATTGACTTTCCCTGCATGTATTACATTAGGCTGATACTCTGTTTTCCTCCTTCTCTTGTCACCAACATTCTTATGCTATTACTTAGCCAAGTTCTCAAGTCATTTGTCAAGCTAGGTCACACAGTCTTTTGATAGAAAATAATCTGCTTTCTAGTATGTAGGGACACCAAATTAGAAAGCAAAAACTTGTTCATCACACTGAAGTATTTTGAAGTATTTTGAAGCCTTTTTTTCCAAAGCAAGTACTAGCTATTTTTTTACATTAGTAACTTTGTATACTTTTGTTATATGCTTTAAGTACATTAATAGTAAACTGTTTCGGACAACTTCTTCATGGAGAGAGCAACAAAGAGGTGTCTGCCCCTCTCCTCCACAGCTTCACACGCATTTAGAGGAGGAAAATGTATTCCTAGATGTTGATTCATTCAGAAAAAAATATAATACTTTGAACAGTTATTTGTTGAATATTAAAATTTTGAGATTTAATCCTTGTTATTTATTTGTTAACTTTCCACTTGTCCAGAGGACACTTCTATGCATAAAGGTTTTTGCAGTAAGGAACATTTCAGGAAGAGAACCCACCTTCCCCAGGTAGTGATTTGAGTTTGACTAAAACATGGCAAGAGTGTCCTTTGTAGTATAGCCAAATGGATGTACATTGATTTGCTCATTTGCATCATCTACCAGCAAATACTGAGTAGGGACTGAGGAGCAAAATATTACTTGCAGTAGATCAATAGTTTTTCTAGAGCCTTCCCTAACTACAGATGACTGGCAAAACACAGCCCATTTGTGTAGTTTTTGTTTGTTTGGGAGGGGAGAGATTTCATTGACTGGAAGGAACTGTACTGAGGAGTTAATATGATGAAAGAATAATTCTGCACATTGATAAAAGCTAACTTTTTAAATGTTTCCTTTTTTTCTAATACAGATAAAAGTGGATGATCGAATGATACGGACAGAACAGGGTTTATTGCTCCGAAGTCTTCAACGGAGAGACTCTGGTATTTACTTTTGTCATGCTGTGGAGCATGGTTTCATGCAAACTCTGCTCAAAGTGACCCTGGAAGTAATTGATACTGATCACCTGGAAGAGCTGCTCCATAAAGAAGAAGATGGTGATGCCTCCAAGATCAAGGATGCCACCAATAGTATGACCCCCAGTCAAAAAATCTGGTATAGAGACTTCATGCAGTTAATCAATCACCCCAACCTCAACACCATGGATGAGTTCTGTGAGCAGGTTTGGAAAAGAGACCGCAAACAACGTCGGCAAAGGCCTTCCAATACACAGGTGAATACGAATAAGTGGAAGCACCTACAAGAGAATAAAAAAGGTAGGAACAGGAGGACCCATGAATTTGAGAGGGCACCACGGAGTGTCTGAGCTACATTACCTCTAGGAACCTCATCCAAGTAGAAACTTGTATAGACAGATAACTGGAAAAAAAATGCAATATACATGAACTTTTTCATGGCATTATGTGGATGTTTACAAGAGTGGAAAGCTCAAACGATTTCCACCAGGTTTAAAAAAAAATGATTTCTAACTTTCCTAGTAAATTCTTCCTCTCTGCACCAAGACTAAGACCAGAACGACCAGAGTTTCAAGAGATAAGTCACCTGAACCTAGCTTACTGCTCAAACAGTTCTGCAAGTGTTCAACAGGCAGGTTTTGCTTTCATATAAACAAAAAGCTGTATTTCATGCCGTCATCTTAAAGGAAAAACAAAAGCCACCTTTCATCATCAGCACTACCATTCCTAGACTTATATATAAAACTGCATGAACTCATTAAGCTGATGAACGTCTAAACATGTGATTGGACACGAAGATTTTGTTCTTGTTTTGTCTACCAGTTCTCCTGTTTATATTTACTAGAAGAGGAAAACAATACCTAATGAGATTGTTTGTGGAAATCTGAACAACAAAAGCCATCCATCATCCAGAAGAACAAAAAATGTGGAGTACACTGGCCTACTACTGATGACTTCTTCCAGCTTTGATCTAAAGATGTATTTTATTAAAACTATAATTTAAATGTACCATGACAAATATGCAGCAAACATTAGCTTTTTTCTAAAATAGATTAGACTTTTTGTCTTAGAATTATTGTACTTTTTAATTACTGGTTTAGAGGAAAAAAGACAACTTCCATTTATGAGCTGCTTTACTCTTTTGTTTGGGAATTCTTTCAGGGGAGCTAGTCGCACTGCAGTTAACCTCCTCCCCTCTATCCCAATAGTCTATATGACATGTAACTTCAAAGCAATTTTAAAACTAAGCTATTTTAACATGAAAGTCTCTGTATAGCATGGAAGTCTTCTGCATTCTTTTTTTTCTAAGTATGGTATTTGAAATGATTTAGCTTGTATAATATCTTTCTATAGATTGAACCAATGAAAAGGAGAGCAATTGATTTCAGTTGTATATTTTTTTTAATTAAAAGTAAATAACATTAAAATATACTAATGACACTCTTGCTTTCTTGGTTCATAAATATATGTGAATGCTAATATTTAAATACTGTGGCTCATATAATGTCATATATCTATGAGCAAAGCTCACATTCAGTTTAAGGCATTTTGTTCCCAGCTCAGTGGTCGAAGTATGTCCACACGTCTGATTCTCAGTGCTCCATCTGATCTGTGGACCCAGATCAACCAAATGCAAATAACCAGCATGAGGCCACATAAATAGTGAGCTCATAGTTGTCTCTCTGTCACAAGGTATAAGCCACTATTCTATCTGTGGTGAATGGGTTGGACTAGATGATCTCCAAAAGTCCCTTCCAACTTCAGTCATTCTGTGAAGCCTGTTGCAGTAAATGGACGAAGAAGTTCAGCTTATGACTTGTATTAGTTTATGCTAACAGATAATTCAGTCCTGTACTTCTATCTTGTGTTTAATTCTATATGCAGGAGAGCAACAGGGTAAAATAGATCCAGTTCATTTGCACTGTAAGTGTCAGCTTAGGGATGTAAGTAGTGGATTTGATTCACCTCAGCACAGATGTGCCTTTGATCCCCAGTTCTATGGTGTCCAGTTCCTTTGAGATCATCTTGATCCAGCATCCCATATTTTATCTTGATAGAATCAGTAAATCAGTAAATAATTTCAAGTAATGTTACTGTGGGAAAAATTGCTAGAACAAAGTCTTTAGTTTACTAAATGAGCTTTTATATAAAAGTGTGTCTGTGTTGATGACTGATCTGTTTTGTTGCTTTTCACTCCAGATTATTTAATTTATGAATCACAACACTGTCAGCCTTATCGGACACAATATAACACAACTGCTGTGACAGCATCTCTCTTACAATATGTCCCAGTCTCCTTGACACTCCATAATTAAAGTATCTTTCTGATTAGTGAAGCCTTGGCCTCCTTCCCTCCATACTTTTTTGATTTTTGCTAAAGACCCAGGCATTTTAGTCTCCTTTGAATCTTTTGCAGGGAATGAACTTATAACGTTTTTATCCATTTAATTCTATAGTAAAAATTAATTGAATAGAGTATGAGAAGGCTATACAGACGTGGTTCAGGAGAGCACTTGGGTATTTAATTTTAGAGCAACCCCAAGTTTATCTTATGCTTAACTTGATGCCTGTGAAGCAGTAATATGCAGTTAAATTCCCATGCTTTCATGAGGTGTTGAATAGGGATGAATTTAAACAGAGATTCAGTATGTTCTTTCCTGTACAGAAGTATTAATTTTTTTGGCTTAGCCTATGATTAATTTGTGAACATTGTTGTCAGCTGAAGTATTTAATTGTAATCACAGAACACTCTTTAGCCTTTTGTGTAGGGCTATTGTATACCATGGAGTCATTAGAATACTCTTTGTTACAAAAGGAAACAGTTTTAAAATGAAGCTCAGAGATTTCAGTGGGAAAAATGCAGATTGATTTCAACATACTCTGAATGACTTTAGTTTCCTTTCTCACATATTAATGGTATTTCTGTCTACCTTTTTTTTTCCCCCTACTATGCTCATTTCTATAGCAATTACCGCAGAAAATCAACACCAAACCAACCTCTGTCCCTCACCCTTTAAGAAAACAAAAATTAAATGAATTGTGTATGCTAAGGTATGTTATTCTCTATAGAAGGGTAATCAACAGAAAGAAAATTGTAGAACCTGCAAGGCTTTTACCATCTCCTAATAGTCTAATTGGGCAATTTAAATGATCAGATTTTACCTACTTCAATTGTATCATCAATTCTCATTTAAAGGCGTAATCTTGTTCATATCTTTGTGTCAGCTCATACAAGTAAGAGGGCAGAGGATCAAGACAACAGCTGAAATTGTTGATTTTCACGTTCTTACTATGGTCAAGTTAAAATGGCATTTGATACTAATTTAAAATGAACTTTTTTTTTTCTTTTTTCAAATAACATAGGCCTTAATGAATTAATGTGGAGCTGCTTCTCTGCAGCTCTGCAGCTGCAGAAGCTCTGCAGCTTCTGTAAAACTCCCATTTTATCATTATTTTTAATGCGACATAAGAATTGAAAATAAAGGTTAAAGTATTTCTGCAAATCATCAATAAAACTCTCTAAACTTCTAGTTACAGACTTCAGATAAAGTAAGTAGAAGGTTGTGTTTCAGCTGGAGAGAAATAAAAGGATTTCATTTGTAACCAGAAAGATCTATTTCATGTGTTTTAAGATAACCATTCGCAAGGAACAAAAAATCATAATTATTGAATATTATTCTTACTAGTCTATGCTTTGCACTTGCATGGATCACTGAAGGCGGGAATTTGTTCAATGGCTCCTAAAAACTGTATGGTTATTTTAAACTATAACATCAGACTAAGATAATGTACATCTTTGCAGAACAGCATTAAATCTTCATGACCCAATAAAGTCACTATGTAAAAATATAAAATTAAATTAAATGCATGTGAATGCACATTTACTGATCTTTTTTTATGTATTATTTAGTGAATATCAATGGTATGTGTTTAATAGTTCAATTTTTGCTACCTACACATTAGTCAAAAGAGATGTAAATATTTTTTGACTAGATAAGGAGGTACAGTGTAAAGTACTGTTATCTAGAGGTACTCCATTTCAGTGTGTTCAGCTAAATACTAAAATGCAAGGTTTTGCCACACAGATGATAGGGTGGTTTATTTGCTACATCAGTGCCAAAGTTATGGGCTTATTCTATAAGCACATTGCTCACTGGTTAGTAAATATTCTGCTTCTGTATTTATAACTTCAATTCAGATGGGAACTAAAAAACTGGAGAGAAAAAAAATGTAATGAAACTGCTGCTGTAAATTATTTCTTTTAGCATGTATTCAGTTGTTAAATAAACATTTCTTCCAAATATTTGAAGTTCCCTGTCTTGACTGTTTACATGGAAATGTGCCCTGTAACCTTCATGAGCATATGGAGGGCATTTTTGCCAATATGCTATCAGTGTATATGAATTCTGTTTACTAGGCCAGAACTGTTGCTATTTTATTAATAGTTTACTGTTTCTTTTTGAAGAATACAAACTCTTCAAATACCTGAAAGCTGCAAACTTCACCCTGTCTTTTGGCACATCTGCCTGAGTGTGTGCAGACAAAGCTACACGCACACACCAGCCACTCTGCCCGGTATCAAACTGTAAGTTGCCCTGTAAGCCATGCAACCACCAGCGACATATGGAGCATGATCCAATCCAGTCTGTGCTCTGTTAATATAGCTATAATATGGCTATACTGCTTGCTGCTGTGAGCTAGCTGGCTTAGACAGCAAGCAAAACAAATCAGTTCTGTCTGTTGTCAACATACCTTTGGATCCTTAGGTTATTTTAGCAGCTGTTTGGGATGGAGAGGGGCCACTAAATAGTGGCTACCCACTATGCACTAAGCATTGTACAAACGTTGCGAGACAAATACTGCCCTAGAAAACACACTGTTTAAGCAGAACAGACAAGATGTGGGGGAAATGAAATGTCACTATTTTCTGAATGGCACATCGATAATTGCAGAGACAACCAGCACTGGCTAGTCCTCACTACGCCATTCATCTTTCTCTGTCCACGTATTTGGCTTTCTATAAAGCAAGGATAGAGATGCCTATTTCAAAAGGATATTGTGATGATGTTTTGTTTTTGCTGTGAGTCTTCCAAAGACATGTCCCAAAATAAGCCCTCATCATCAGCTAGGCAATTCAGGGGAATGCAAAAGATTTCTTCAAGCACAAGAGGAAAGGAAAGGACACAGAACGCAGTAAGTCCACTAAGTGAAAGACTGGAATATTTATTTTCTTTCTGGTTCAACGGGTGCTAAAAACAGCAGAAGACCCTTATTTCAGGATGTATCCAACGTTATGTCCTTTGCTAAAGCTTCCTGAAGAGACCAAGAAAACAGATTGTCTTCTGAAGCTACTTTTCTATGTGATCAAGAGCATACAAAGCCTACAGACAACCTTCAAGGTACTAAGTAGGAAGAAATATATGAGTTAGTTAATGCCTGTTTATTCATAAATATATATACATATACACACATGCATATATATACATGTATATATCTGTATGTATTTTATCCACCAGCTCTCACTGCAATGAAATCCCCTTTTCCCTAAAGTATTCCAAGCTCCGCTTGTAATTCAAGTGTGTCTCTGAAGAACACGTTTGGTGACCTTAGCTATAAATTGTTATAAATGTTTCCTTTGTGAAGACTGAAACTCACTCTTCTGTTTCCTTACAGGTTGCAGCCACTGAACTCCCCGTCAAGCACACACATTTAATGTGAGACCAATTTATGATGCATTTTCTAAATCCTAGAACAAAAGCACTATTCTCCCCCAAATGCTCAGTAACAGGATTCAAGTCACTCAGGGCATTGCTGAACCAGGGAGCTACTTGCCTGCCCGTAAATACTCCACTGAAAGGTTGGGGGAGCTTGATAACAAAGCTAGAAACAATGTAATATAGGCTTTGTTTGAGATGGTTTTTGTCCTGGAATTTATCAAGGACTGACATTTTGGCGAACCTCAGGAAGATCTGAGCAAAATCCCAAAGCCCTAGGGAAGCAGTTTTCACAACGAAGTAATTTTTATTTTGGTTAAGAGAGCAACTTCCGTTTTTTTTTCTTTTTTTTCCAAGGTATTTTTGCACCTCTTTAGGGAATGGGGCTC